AATCTGTACTCTGGTACTTTAAACTGTGCTAATTGTTTAGTGGGGTCAGAGAACATAAAACTCTTTTTCCAGTGAAGCCATTAGGTCCTCCTGTCTCAGGTCTTTTTCCTAAGCATCTTTCTTCTTGTAGGCAGGCTCCAAGGATTTTTTTCTCTTTCTAGTAATCACCTATCTACTATATTTCTAGGGAATGTTGCATCCATACCTGGTTTTGGAAAACATGTTATCTATTCCTAGCGAAAAGGCCTGTGGCAATTTAGAAACTATGATTGTTGTTTTGCTGATTTTATTGTTCCTTCATATTTCAGACTGTCTCTGCGAACTTTCATCCAGAGATGTGTTATAGGAGTTTGAGGGAGAACTCAATGAATACTGGCCATGGTCATATTTGTATTCTTTTTCCTTGGTAGAAGACAATGGACATAGCTACAGTGGCATTAGTTAGCTGTTAAAGATTTGCAGGTCTAGGGATGAACGTAAATGTAAATGATTAAATGTAGATTCTATAATAGCTTCATATAGATTACCTGTGAGCACAAGTCATATTCTCAATAGGTGATTTCCCCACACCAGCTTGAAGGGCTATAGAAAAAATATTGTCATCAGGTTACTGATGAATGATTTACTTGGTTGTGACTGACTTCAGTAGATACATGAGATACATGCAATAAAATGATTCAAACATATCTTCCTGGCTTTTCTCCCTAAAGAGTTGCAAGCAGGCCGGGATCTAGGAAATACTGTCAGGCAATGTTTTGTTTTTAGAGCAATGCTTATCATTTTTATGGTTTACATGAACATTCCAACCCAATAATAACACGCTTACGTTTTACAGCTAATTGCTAATGCCAAATTCAAGAATCAATTTTATAGTTAGTGCCTGAGCTAATTTTTTGTATTGTCCTTTAATTTAAAAAACAGAATAGCTGTTAAAATGTATGTTGTAAAATAGTTTTATCATTTTTGATTACTAAAAATAAGCACTCACTGACATTAATAAGTGCTTTGTATTATCACAAAAAGCAGAATAGTTTTCTAACAACTTAGCAAAGGTGTTACGGTTGAAAACAACATTCAAAATAAGTTGAACACTGCTTGCTCATATTTACCAAGTTACTGCTCAATAGTGCCATATGTAACAGGATTCTTATTTGAAAAAATAGATGTGTACTAAACTACTGAGATTCTGAAACAAATTTAGAATAAAGCATACATTAAAACCAAAGTTTAAGGTAAACTAAGATAGGTTTTCCAATTGTTGAAGTATGTATTTCTCTAATAAGACAAAAATAGGGTTTAGAAAAACCAGCATTTCTCTTTTATGACAGAGATCCTTAAAATTAATGAAGTTGTTAGCTATTGTGGCATGATTGTTCATTGTGTATCATACAGTATATTCAGACCTCCACTAATATTCTTGGGGAGCTTTGTGTTCAAAGTGGCTTGTGGATATGAATTTTTTTTTATCAGGAACTACATGAAAGTTACTGCAGTTTTTTGGGGAAGAATAAAATTAGTGTAACACATTCCTTGCAGTAAATATTTGCATTACTTTTTTTGTAGTAACATAAGAATTTATTTTCCACCTTTGCTGTCATCTAACAATTTGCAACACTGAGAAGGAACCAAATATTAAATCTACATTTCTGCTCACCTAGTGTGTGTGGACTTTTGCAGCTGTGCTCAGAAAGGTGTGGAAAACTGGAGCAAAAGCTTGATTTCATTTTTTTCCCTATTATAGTCCCAGAATTTATATTTAGCTTGCACTTTTCTAGTGGGATGAGCAATACAACTCTGTTATTCACAATGTGTAATTTGCTAAATAGTTTTTGTGTTTAAAGCTTTTATTTCCTGTTCTACTTCTGGAAAACAAAATTAAGGGATTTTAAGCAGGGGCAAAGCTGTAGGATCTGTAGGTAATCATTCCTAGATACAGATTAAGTACATGTAGAATTATGCTCCATAAAAGCAAGGGACTGTGATCACTCCAATCCTGCGGCTTCCACAGCATGCTACAGACATGCTACAGACATGCTTAAACATTTGTTCGATGAATTAAATTTTCATATCATAAGAAAGCTATCTCCTGCCCTAAAAGAACTCATACACTTAATTATGTTATATAATTTACTTTTAAAGAAAGTAGAGTATAATACGGTTGATATACAACAAATAAAACTTATGTTGATGTCCAGGTTCTGCCATAAACAGCATGACAATGCATGACAACAGGGAAGCTACTTGAGTTCCCTGGATCGCAATGAATGAATTTAGGACATTAAGGGATATGACCAGATGAAGCCCAGTTAGAAAATTCTAAGTCATCCAAGTTCTAAATTGCTTCTCAATTCTGAAATCACTTAGTGAGATACATTAAAGATCACGAAACTTTTGGTTTACAAGTAACAGACAAAGAATATTAGAAAATTTAAAATTTTTAATAAATGTGCTTTGTTCACAAAATGTGAAAAAATACAACAAACACAAACGTACATCTTCAGATATGCTACCTCCCACCACTTGGCAACTATGGTAAAACCACACGATCTAGTCATGATCCTGAAGATTCCAACCAAATGATTATCATTTGTTTTTGAAACACCAAATTATTTCAGAGAGCCTGCTGAGAATGTGACACGAGGCCCCGTAACTTCTTTATATCCAATGAAATCATTCTTAAGAGTACCCATACAGTATTAGAAGGTCTTACTAACATCTCTTGTCATTACATATATGATCTGGCACCAAGCTGCAATGACTGTTTATACTTCAACACTTATACACTGAAATTGGCTTTGGTGGAATGTGTATTGGTTTAAATCCGGTGCCAACCTAATTTGAATAAGCTGAATTTACAGTAACAAATGATATAAATTCAAACAAATTTACACTAAGTGGTAGTAGGTTTATAGAGAGACTTTTCTTTAAAGTACTACTTAAAATACATCATGCACATTTTGGAGCATAAGCAAAATCAACATCTGTAAACAATCAGAAGAATTTATAGCACCAACATTTTAGCTGTGACACAAAGGCTGACTCCAAGGTCATACTTACACCAGCCTTTCAAAAGCACTGTTTTCATTTACTTTCAAAGCACTTTCATTTGGCGTACTGTTTTCTTTGCTCTTAAGATCATATTTAGCTAAATCAAAAACTGGTATGGTAAAAGAGGTACTACCAAAACACAGTTCTATATTATCCTCAACAGTCTTCTCTCTCTCTCTCTCTTTCTCTCTCTTGAGGGAGCTACAAGACATAATCCTGTAGGGCTTAAGTGGAAGGAAAAGTCAATCCTAGTTATTTAGGAATCTTATGCTATTGAAAGTAAGTGAAAAATTTCAAGTTACTTCTGGCATATTTGAGCAACCAATATTTATTGCATTTAGTCAATGACTCTTTAAAACGTTAATTACAATCTTGTTACTTTCATTAATTTAGCATGTGAAATTTAATTTGATATACTGGGTACATACACTTAACCATTTATATTGTAAAGGATAAGGTTTGTATTCTAAATAAAGTTTGACATTCAAAGTTAACTACAGCAATTCACAATAAGCACAAAAACATCAGCTTTACCAGAGTAAAGAAGTACAGTTTATGAAATTTAGGATCAACTATTGAAAATGCAAGTTTCATTTAAAAACACACACACACACACACACATTAACCATGAAATCTGAAACTGTGATATTTCAGTGCAAAAACCTCAGTATGAGGTAATTTTAATGTACTAACCACTTGAAAAAAAATCCACACAGTGGCACTCTTAAAAATGATAGTTTACATGACAATTGCTGGCTGACAAGACAATGTGGACTAAACGTTCTTAGCTGTTTAAACTAATCTTGTCTTGTTTGGACATGTATTTCTCCTTAATCATTTGCTTCTGATTCAGAAACACAGAAAGGCATTTATTAATGTGGAAAGGGAAAATTCCCACAGCCAACTAATGGTTGATATACTCAAAGAAAATTTTCTGCTAGGGCTTAGATAGAAATTAAGATACCAAAAGGTCAAAACCATTTTAGGAGATTACCAGCAGAGGGTTAATTTTAGATTTTTCTATATAATCCCAAACTTGTAGTGCAGCACCTCCTTAACGGAAAGGCGAGGACCCTATCAAAGTTGGTTTCGATAGAACATAAACTCTCTTCCAAGTGCAAACCCTTTCACAAAGGTGTTTTAGGTTAGTATTGAGTATTATATTGTTCCTTGCTTAAATAAAAAATTTTGTAAATGAAACCTAAATTAAAAAAAAAAGTAAAAGTGAACTCTCACAGATAAATATACTTAACACCAAGGCCCAAATCAACAAGGTTATGAAAATACTACTTTGGCAATGGTGTTTACTGGATAGGGCTAATGAAATTAGAATACATGCTCTGGGGGAAATCTCTCCCCCAATGTCTGATGCTGTCAAATGACCTTTTAATACAAGAAAGGAGGTAAAAGAATTATCACCAATTCCAAAATGTTCAGGAAATATTGGATCATCAGACAAAACTGAACAGAAAATGGCTTTCTGTAACGTAACAATTTAGTTAGAAAAAAGAAAAAGATAAGTGCATCACCATACAACTAAACCAGTCTATTTCTGTGTCACATTTAACTTTTGAGTCATCAAAGTGCAATCTACAGCTCTCTACATATCTTAAAGTTTCCCATTGCAATGGTTTAAAGTCAACATTGAAAAGGAAAATATACAGCAAATTATGCTTCATTTTTCACAATAGGACTAAAGAGAAAAAGGTACCTTTCTATGATATCTTAGTGCTAAATGCTAAAGTAACAGTGGTTTCTGCTATGACAGGAGTCACTCTGCATGAAACTTTAAGCTTTCTATATAAGAATAAATTTTAAAATTGAGAAGTAGAAAAAAATAGCAAACTCTGTAAACCTTTGCATTTCTTCTATGCAAACCAGGTTTTAAGTACTGAGTTCATGTTAGTATTTCCGATTAGTGTAAGCAATTAGTTAAGGAGCCTGGACTAAAAGAGCCTTTTGCTTTTATATTAACTTAAAAGTAATATGGGATCCTCTAGCTCATAGAAAGGAATAGAGCTGGCTTGACTTTCTCCAGAATCTGAGTCATATGGAGCATCAGGGAGCTCTGTGAAACCGTACGCTAGTTGTTCATCTTCTATATCTGATCGAACATAGCAGGAAGGGTTAGCATATTCCTCATCTTCTATACTGTTGAAATCTTGAGGAATATATAACATCCCTGGGTAGTTCCTACTAACCAAGTCACTTGTGGTTTTTAGGGAAATTTTCCTAAATGCCATCAGATGCATATGTGAGAATTTTGAATACTTGAAGCGTTTAAAGCCCAGGGACTCTATAGCAATCTTCCAGCTTTTCATCATCATAGCATGACGGTTCTGATGGGAGGAATCAGGTGTGATGATAAGTAATAAACCATTTAACACTAATAGTTCATGGGCCTTCTTGCAGCAAATCCATCGCTGGTAAGGTGATGGAAAATAAGAAAGGAGGAGAGAGAAAACAACCACATGAAAAAGTTCTCCAGGAAGAGAATCAATAGGGTTTTTCAGCTGCTTCAAAAAAGCATCGATAGCATCCTGTGCAAGCTGGAGTGGCTGCTGAAGCTGTAAATTCAGGAAGTCACATTTATATACACTCTGCAGAAAGAAAAACAAGGCATATTAAAAATTTCAAGATTACTTCTACTTTAATACATAGATTTTACAGCTAATTATTTCACAGCATTTTTATATAACTCCAGCTCTGATTATGCATCTTTTCCTTCTAAATTAAGCTTGCACAGACTTAATTCAACCAAAACTTTCCCATAAAAATCTAAGTAATTAAGCCCAGAGAACTTCTAGTCATCATTTAAAAAAATATATACTTCTGCCTAACAACTTGAAATTGGAAATATTAATAATTCTTAAGTATATAGTTTAAAAATCATAAGGGTTTATAAATTTTAATTCAGGTAAGAGTTTACGGGAATGACTTATTTCTAAGCTTATTCTTATTTACATTTATTTTAATATTTACAGTTACCAAAAACAAGTTAACATAAAAACTCTATGAAATACTATGAAATAAAGATGAATCAAAGTCAAAGAGGGTAACACAGAAGCATTATAAAATTTGTACAAGCAGAATGATGCCAAAACTTTTTAAGGTCATGATAAAGGTCATTTAAACCATTAACTTTAACCATTTAAAAAGTAATTTTAACATTACTTTTTTTAAGCATGAAATGAAGTTTATTGAGAAAGGACAAGAACTTTCTTCCAGAAGTTTTGCAGTTTTAGTTTTTCCATTTATGATCCATTTTAGTTCTTTTTTTTTTTTAATATGGGGTGTGGTATATAGTCTTGAGTTCTTCTTCCTTTGTAAATAAATATCCAGTTGTTTCAACACTATTTGTTGAAAAGGCTATCCTTTTCATTTTGGGCCTATCTGTGGACTTTCTATTATTTCATTGATAACCCTGACTTCAATATCACACTGCCTTGAATACTGTAGCTTTATATTCAATTTTAAAATCAGGTAGTGTTACTTCTCCAACACTGTCCTTTTTCCAAAATTGTTTGAGCTATTCTAGGTCCTTTCAAAAAAATTAATTGAGTTTTTCAATTTCTACAAAAAAGCCTGCTAGGATTTTGATCAGGATTGCATTGAATCTGTATATCAACTTGGGGAAAACTGACGTATTAACAATATAGAGTCTTCCTACCAATAAACATGGTATATGTCTCCATTTATTTAAGTCACCTTTAATTTCTCCCAATTTGTGGTTTTCAGATTTTCTACTTTTGTCATTTATGGTATAGGTTTCATATATGAAATATTGTATATTTTTGATGCTTTTGTAAATGGTAGTTTTTAATTTCAATTTCTGATTGATTGCTATAGTATATATCAATTAATTTTTATATTGATCTTGTACTTGCAACCCTGCTAAACTCACTTGTTAGTTCTAGTAGCTTCTTTGTAGAGTCCATGGAATAATCTAATAGAAGAGCAATGTTACCTGTGAAGAAAGTTTTTCTTCTTTCTTTCCAATCTGGATGCCTTTTATTGCTTTTTCTTGCTCTACTGAATTGGCTAGAAATCTAGTACAATGCTGAATAGGAGTGGTGAGTGTCGACATCCTTATTCTAGTTCTCATGGAAAGCATTTTTCTTTCACCATTAAGGATCTCATATACCCTTTATCAGGTTGAAGAAATTCCCTTTAATTTCTCCTGAGAGTTTTTTTTTAATCAGGAAAGGATGCTGGATTTTATCAAATGCTTTTTCTGTGCGTACTGAAATGATCACATGGCTTTTTCTTTTTGGTCAGTTAACATGGTGAATAGATTATTTTTTGAACATCAAACCAAACTTGCATATCTGGGATAAACCCAACTTGGCCATGATGTATTATCGTTTTAAAAGACATTGTTGGATTCAGTTTGCTAAAATTTTGTATAGAACATCTTATGTTTATGAGGGATATTGCTCTGTATTTTTCTTGTTTAGTAATGTCTTTGGTTTTTATACCAGGGAAATGGCCTTATAGAATGAGTTAGGAAACAGTATTTCAGCCATTCCACTATTATAGAACAGCATATATATAACTGGTATTATTTCTTCCTTAACTATTGGTAGGTTTTAACAGTGAAGCCATCTGTACCTGGGATTTTCTTTGTGAAATTGCCAATTCAAATATCTTTAATAGAAATCATTCATTCATCTTCTCTATTTCTTCATGAATGAGCTTTGGTACTATGTGTCTTTCAAGGAATTTGTCCATTTAAGTTGTGGAACTTATTGGCATAAAGTTGTTCATACTGTTGTGTAGCACAGTGGTGCAGTAGAAGCTTGCTGGGCCCATATTTTTGTATTATCCTTTTAATATTGGTAATATCTGTAATGATGTCACCTCTTTCTCTTTATTTCCTCATCAGTATGGCTAGAGGTTTATCAATTTTATTGAACTACTCAAAGAACTAGCTATTGCTTTCATCAATTTTCCCCAATGTTTTTCTGAAAGTTTTCTATTTCACTTGATTTCCGCTCTGATCTTTATTATACTTTGGATTTAATGTGTTTTTTTCTAGTTGAAAATTAATATAATTGCCTTGAGAACTTGCTCATAAAGGTGTTTAGGTGCTATAATTTTTCCCTAAGTACTACTTTAGTGACCCGGGTGGCACCTTACACATTTTTGATATGTTTTTTGTCTTCATTTTAGAAAATGTTCTAATTTCCATTGTGAGATTTTCTTAGGTTGATATTCTGTATACTTGTTCTATCAATTATTAAGAGCATTACTGAAATTTCCCAGTATAATTTTATAAATGTTGATTTTCCCTCTTTTATCAGTTTTCAGTTTATATATTTGGTTTTTTTATTTATTATTTTTTTTGACCTTGCAGGGCAAAACCAGCATGGTTTATGTATTTGGAAGCTCTGTTATTAGGTGCATAAATATTTAGGATTGTTATGAACTGACCCTTTTATCATTATGGAATGGCCATCTTTATCCCTGGTAATGTTCTTTTCTCTGAAATATACTTTTTCTGATTTTAATACAGCCACACAAACTTTCTTTTATCCATCTTCTTGCTTTCACACTATTTGTATTTTTATAATTGAAGTGCATTTCTTATAGGCAACCTATATATGGGTCTTGCTTCTCCTCCCACCCCATCTGACAATCTCTGCCTTTTAGTTGGGGTATTTAGAGCATTTCTATTTAATGTGATTATTGATATCCTTAAGTTTTAAATCTATAATGTTGCTATTTATTTTTTACTTGTCCCACCTGATCATTGTTCCCTTTCTCCACTTTCCTGCCATCTTTTTTCTTTTCTTTTTTTATTTCAGCATATTATGGGGGTACAGATGTTTAGGTTACGTATGTTGCCCTTGTCCCCCCTCCCCCGAGTTTCAAATATGTCCGTTCTTTGGGTTCCTGCCATCTTTTCTATTGAGTTTTTCATGATTCCATTTTATCTCCTTTGTTGGCTGATTAGCTATAATGCTTTTATTTGGTGGCTGCTTTAGGATTTATATATTAACTTATCGTAGTTTACCTTCAAGTGATATTATACCACTTAATGTATAAGAATCCTGAAATAATATGCAGCTGTCCCTCAGTATTCATGGGGAATTGGTTCCAGGAACCCTCATGGATACCGAAATCCGTAGATGCTCAAGTCCCTTATGTAAAATGGCATAGTATTTGCATATAACCTATGTACATCCTTTTGTATATTTTAAATCATTTCTAGATCACTCATAATATCTAATGCAATGTAAATGCTATGTATAGTTGTTATATTGTATTATTTCTATTATTATTAATTAATTAATTAATTTTTTTTTTGAGACAGAGTCTCGCTCTGTTGCCCGGGCTAGAGTGAGTGCCGTGGCGTCAGCCTAGCTCATAGCAACCTCAAACTCCTGGGCTCAAGCGATCCTCCTGCCTCAGCCTCTCGAGTAGCTGGGACCACAGGCATGCACCACCATGCCCGGCTAATTTTTTTCTATATATTTTAGTTGTCCGATTAATTTCTTTCTATTTTTAGTAGAGATGGGGTCTCGCTCTTGCTCAGGCTGGTCTCGAACTCCTGAGCTCAAACGATCCGCCCGCCTCGGCCTCCCAGAGAGCTAGGATTACAGGCGTGAGCCACTGCGCCGGCCCCTCAAATATTTATTTTTGACCTGTGGTTGATTGAATCCACACAGATATGGAGGGCCAACTGTACTTCCAGTTCTCTCAGCTCATCCTATATACTACTACTGTCATACACTTTAGTTTTAGTTTTTAAATGGTTGTATTAGTTTGCTGGGACTGCTGTAACAAAGTACCATGAATTAGGTGGCTTATTTTCTCCCAGTTCTGCAGGCTACAAGTCTGAGCTCAAGATGGTGGGAGGGTTGCTTTCTTCTGAGGGCTGTGAGGGAGAATCTTTGGTGTTCCTAGGCTTGTAGATGCATCACCCCAATCTTTGCTTTTATCTTCACATGACATCCTCCCTATATGCTTGTTTCTAAATCCAAATTTCTCCTTTTTATAAGGACACCACAGTCATATTGGATTACGGCCCACCTTAATGATCTTGCTTTCACTGGAATACCTCTGTGTAAAGCTCCTACCCTCCAATAAAGTCACAAACTGGGGGTTAGGACTCCAATGTATCCTTTTGTGGGGTGACACAATTCATCTTGTAACAATGGTCAATTATCTTTTAAATAATTTAAAGAACAACAGAAAATCTTTTATATATATATATATTTATTTTTTTTACCTGTGTAGTTACCATATCCATTACTCTTCATTTCTTTGTGTATATCTAAATTTCCACCTGGCTAAAGCACTTCTTCCTTAACATTTCTTAAAATGCAAGTTTGCTAATACTGAATTCTTTCAGCTTTTGTGTATCTGAAAAAAAAATCTTTGTTTTTTTAAAAGATATTTTTGCTGGGTATGGAATTCTAGGTGACAAATTTTTTTCTTTCAGTACTTTAACATGTCTTTTTAAAATTTCTGGCTGATTGTAAGACTTTACCACTGGTTTTAGAAGTTTGATTATGATGTTCCTTGATATAATTTTCTTCATGTTTCTTGTGTGTGGAGTTTGTTGAGCTTCTTAGATTTGTGAGTTTATAGCTTTCATCACATTTGGAACATTTTTGGCCATTATTTCTTCAAATTGCTCCCCTTTTTGGAGGACTCTAATTATGCTTATATTTAGTTGCTTGCAATTGTATCACTAATGCTCTTCTATTTTTTCTATTTCACTTTGGGTAGTTTCTACTGCCATATGTTCAGTTTAACTTTTCTTCTGCAACATCTAATATGCATTAATCCCCTCTAGTATGTGTTTCATATCACACATTGTAGTATCCATTTCTGGAAATTAATTTGGTATTTTTAAGTATCTGACATGTCTGAGCATTCCCTGAAGAACCTCTTTAATGTATGTCTTGAAGAAGGAAGGGGAGAGAATCCAGGTATGATGCCCCTTGCACCTTAAAATTATAGCTCCTGCTGGCACAGAAATTCTCTTCAGTGATAAGTTAAGAATGGCAAATATTTGCCCATCTTTAGGAAGTAGAGGTAACAGTAATGGTTTTAGCATTTTCTTGCTCCTCAATGTTACTCATACAGACTCAATCTAGACAGTCATGTTCATCAAAATGATAAATAATTAAATAAGATTTCTATGAATGGTGAATCCTCATGCAGGACTTTTCAGTAATGACAGCACTTACTATGCTAGGTGTTTTAAATACTTTTTTTCAAGAAAACATTGCAACATCCTATGAAATGTGGTCCGTTATAAACTCCATTATACAAATGAGAAAACTGAGGATCAGAGGCTAGAAGAAGGTGATAAAGAGATTCAAACCCAAGTTGAAAGTAAGATTCCACTCTTTTATTAAAAAAGTATTTAATATACCAGACACTCTTCTAGGTTATACTCTAATCCACATTCTCTTTAAAAATTCAATTTGTAAATTTCCTTTGTGTCTTCAGTTATATTAAGGGTAAATGGCAAACATTTATGCTATCTTATTCGGGAAAAAATATCTAATTTTTTCTGATGTAATTTAAGAAATGTGCCCACCCTAAAGTCCTCTACCTTCAAAAAATACCTTTAACATAAACTCCTGGCATCATATACGATAAAAGGAAATTTAAGCTTATAAAAAGGTGATCCTATTTCATTTAATTGAAGTGATAGTGTTACAATAACTGACTCACTGGAATATTCTCAAATGGAAGGATAATATCATTTATAGATACGGACCTATAATGTACCAGGCCAAGTATTAGTTGGATGCTTATTCTCATAACTTTTATAAAGGTAGAGGAAATAGTTTATGTAAAGTTAAGTAGTTTCACCTTCTCAAGTACAAATAAGCTGGATTTAATAAAGTTTTGGCTGACTCCAAAGTCCTTGCTTCTTTCTACCACTCCACAATGGCTCTACTACACAGTAAATTTCAGAAAGAGATACATTAAAAACCAATAAACCAAATAAAACACAAAGCCCAAACACTGCAGCTATGTGGAAATCTTTGTAATCTACTAAAGTTTCTTGATCGCAATGATTTCACTATAGTGTAGTTCTAAAAGATTAGGGCTATTTAGATGATAAACAAGGAACAAAACAAAGAAAAAGACAAATATGGTACTGGTCACATCAATATTGGTTAACTAAACGCTCAAATTTTGAATGGAAATAACTGGTGCACAGGAAATATATTTGTTATTTTAGGAATGCAAAGAAGGTGATTTTCCTTGGCAAATATACATTTAAAATATTCAAGTCTGAAAACAAATAAAACTATGCATACCTCTACAGCAGGTACAATGTCTATGCCAACAGTTAGAAATTCTTCAAACTTCAGAAAGGGATTAAAGCAGCTGCCAACATCAAGTAATCTGATCTTTCCTGAGGCTTGTAGCAACCTAAAAACAGATATTTTGTATTATAAAAGACAAACTAAAAAAATTCAAATATTTGAGAATAAAAAATTATGTACATTATTGGTTCTTTAACTTTTTGGTCTTGTGATCCCTTTGCACATTTAAAAATTAATAAAAGCCCCTAAGAGCTTTCATTTATATGGGTTACTTATAAAAGGAGCTTTCATTTATGTGGGTTATATCCATTAACAATTACCATATTTGAAGTTAGAAAAGTGTTAAAATATTTATTCATTTATAAAACACTATAGTATGTAACAGAAATAACTTTTAGATAAAAAAATAGCAAACTTAAAAGGTAAAAAGGGAGGTTTTGTTTTATATATATATATATATTTAGATCTCTTTAATGTCTAGCTTAATAGAACAAATTCTAATATCTGCTTTTGCATTCAGGCTGTTGCAATATCACATGCTATGTAGTCTCTAGAATACTCCACTCTACACTCACAAAACAGAGTAAAAAATGAGAATCTATAATGATATATACTACTAGATAGTCATTCTAATCCTTACTTGGGCTATGGTTAATAACAAGAGTACCAGTATCAGAGAGACTAAGATCAAAACCTGATTCTGTCCTGGAATGTCTAATATGGGTATAATACTGAGTAAAAGAGTATTTTCCCTCAGAATTAAATGAGATAATACATTTAATGCTTGACCCAATGTCTGGTACATGGTAAGTAATCAAAAAGTGGTAGACACTATTGCACACTATTATGTTACAGATGAAATTTTTGAGATATTCCTGAGTATGGTAAAAGCAGAATTTACCCTACACTAAATTCTATAGCATAGATTCTAGTAAACTGAGTAGCAACAAATTTCTGATAGCCTTTAAAAAAATCTTCTATCTGGATGAAGTATTCCAAATCATTCAAGTTAATTCAACATCATTATGATCACCAATAACCTAACCATATCATGGATTAGCTTAATAATTGATCAATTTTCAGTAATATACTGAGTCCATTTCAAATTCTTTGGTTCAGCTCCTTAATTTTTTAATTTGCATAAAATATATTATTAATAGATGTTCTGTTTCAAGAATAGTCACATAATGAACACCCATGTAATTACCACCCAGGTCAATAAAACAATGCCTGAACCTGGGAATTGACTATCCCTGTTGATAGCACCCACACCTTTTCATAATGGCAGCCACTACCCTTATTTTAAGGATAACCATTCCCTTGATTTCCTTTTATAGTCTTAACTAGCTATAACTAAATACTTACATAGATAGTATTACGTTTCACACTACACATTTGCTCTTGTGACTTACTTCTTCCACTTACTACCTTTATGAGAGTTGTCTGTGCTTCTATAACTCACTTTCATTGCTGTATAATACTACACTTAAACAATACATCCCATTAGGACTTTGATTAGTGTGGCATTAAGGGTAAAGATCATTTGGGAGAATTAAATCAATGAGTCTTTAAATCAATGGACACAGGATAGTTATACATTTATTTAGGTTTTTTTGTCTCCAAATATTATTTTCTCAAATCTTTTGTTGGATTTATATTCCTTGGCATCTCATAATTTTTGATGCTATTACTAATGTTATCTTTTTCCCCATGGCTACTCTTTACTGTTATTTTTTAAATTTCATTTTTTATTTACAGAAATTCAATTGATTTTTGGATACAGTAGTCTCCCCTTATGTCCAGTTTCATGGTCTATGGTTTCAGTTACCTTTGGTCAACTACGGTCTGAAAATATTCAATGGAAAATTCCAGAAATAACCTATTCTTAAGTTTTAAATTGTGCAATGTTCTCAGTACTGTGATAAAATTGCATGCTGTCTTGCCCAGAACATGAATTATCCCTTTGTCCAACATACTCATACTGTATAAGCTAACCACCCAGTAGTCATCAACATTTTCTGCTCCTGACATCCAACCACCAATAAAAGCATGGCTTGCTGATCCAGGATTACTGAAGGTAGGTGATCCTCCTCCTGATGTATGGTTAGAAGGTCAATAGTAGCCTAATATTACGTCACAGTGCCTACATCATTGACCTCGCTTCATCTCATCACAGTTATCATTTCACATCATCACAAAAAGAAGGGTGAGTGTGGTGTATTTTGAAGGAGAGAACACATTCACATAATTGTGCCATTTTATTATTTTTTTATGGTGCCAAATTTATAAATTAAACTTTATCATGAGTATGTATGCACAGAAAGAAACAGTACATATAAGGTTCAATAATATCCGCAGTTTCAGGCATCCACTGGGGGTCTTGGCAAGTATCTCCTGAGAATATGGGGAGACTACTACCTATATTTTTTGTATCTAGTAACTTAACTGAATTCCTTGATCTTAATTGCTTATCAGCATATTATTTTGGATATTCTAATCTAGGTACATAAATAATCTATGAAAAATGACATTTGTATTTCTCCCTTTCCTATCTATCTGACTTCTAATACAGTGCTAAGCAGAAGTGGGTACCACTAACCCAATCTCAGAGGGAACATTCCAGTGTTTCACCATTAAATATAACGATGGCTGTAGGCTCTACATACTATCCTTGATAAAGTTGAAGAAATTTATTTTATGCTTAGCTAGGGATTTTTTTTGTTTTAACCCAAATCCATGTTGAATTTTATCAAATGCATTCTATGCATCTGTGCAGATACGACTTTAATCTGTTGATGTGGTAGAGCACATTAATTTTATAGTGTTAGATCAACCTTGCATTCTTGGAAAAATTTAATTTGGTTTGATGTATTATCCTTTTCCTAATTTGAAGGATTTACATGCATGTATAGTCAATTTCTGCGATTTGTGGTAGTTATGTTCCATAAAGTTACCACGAACGTTGAATTAGAGAATACTGAACCATGGCCCCTAGGGAAAATACAGTTAGCCCTCTGGTCACAACATTTTCATCAATACATACTCTGGATTTATGTGTGTTTCTGTTCAAGGACACTTTATTTAATATACGTTGTTGGTGGATTAACACTGAACTCATGGCCAATAGCAGTGTAACTCATGCCTGAAGGAAGCTTATATAACACATGTCTTTTCTACGTACAACATAGCCTTCTTGTGCTTGGGGGCCATTTTAAAAGCAAAATCATTGACAAAAAGCACAAAAATGCAAAAAATATGACACCACACAGACTGTGAAAAGGACATATGTTTATGTATGAGAACTGAAACAAGAAGGCAGAGCTCACCTTGTTCAACCTCAGCTGGAAAGGTACGTGACTCAAATTTTTTGCCACACAGTGCATGTCCATGAATGACTGTGAAAATGCCACAACTACTGATTTTGGGGTTGCAAATAAATTTTAGATGAATTCACAGATAGGAATCTGTGGGATAGACTGTGTATGTGTATTTTTAGGATTTTTGCATCTATGTTCATGAGTGGGCAGGTTTGTTAATCATGTTGTTCAAATACTGTATATAGTCTTACCTACTTTTTTTATATACGGATATTTTAATTTCAGAATACTACAGGGGCACACGCATTTTGGTTATATAATTTGCGTTTGTATAGTTTAAGTCAAAGTTATAAGTGTGCCCTTCACCCAGATAGTGTGCACTGTACCCGTCAGGTGTGAATTTATCCATCCCATCTACTTGATTTCCGTTGAGTTTTACTTCCATATGTGCACGTAAGTGTTGATTACTTAGTTCCAGTTTAGCATTGAGTATATGTGGTGTTTGTTTTTCCATTCTTGTGATACTTCATTTAGAAGAATGGTCTCTTACCTACTTTTTGAAAGCTCTTTTCTCAATCATTGAGAAAATTTTGTTAAAAATCTTTCAATATTTAAAAAACAGAGTAAGAATGACCTCTGCAAACTGACTTGAAGAGATTTTGTTATATGTTTAGCTTTTTAAAAAGAAACCGTGGAAATATAAACCAGAAACTCATAAAACCTGAGAAGATTTAGAAACAAGGTGAAACCTTTAAATAAGGAATGGGACATCTGAGCACACCTTTCATTGTAGCTTTGACTTTTGAAAGTTGTTAATATTTTACACATTCAAAACATAAAATCACTAGGATGGGGAAAAAGCACAACACAATAAAAAGAGAAACTAATGAACCTAGCTATATATCGAACAACACAGAAGGAAAAACACTAATTCAATAACTTCCAAGAAAGTTATTCTGACTATAATAATCTCAATGGGTAATATTCTAAGGATAAATAAGAACTATAAAGAAATCCTGAATTTGTTGTTGTTGTAATACTGGCTCAGACATTTTGAAATTATATATTTTGTGCATATTGAAGGGCTGGGCAAATGAACTACAGTTCTTGGGAGATACGAATACAGAATGGGGGAAAGGAGGGAAAGAACCCTCCCTATAGTGATGGATTGGAATTAGAGGTTTCATACTAGAGGATGTAGAAGCATATTTAATACCCAGAATTTGCTTTCTAAATACTATTCTCTCACTAAAAGGAATTTGTACTTCTTTAAGGAATGGCTTATTACAGGGTTGAAGCAGAGAAAATACAAGGTGAGCCTGGATGATCTTATTGTATAAGAAAGTAAGGTATTGCTCTAAAACTAATGGAGACATATAGAAAGGTAATAGGAATTAACTTACAGTAGCTTTCATTGGCCTAATTTGGGATGATTTCACCATTATAATGATAACAATGAACTATAACATTTAATTTAAAAAAATGAGTCCATAGGTGCTTAAAAAATTAGAAGAGAAAGCTCTTCTTTACAGAAGAATCACCATTCTGCAACCATTGTAATAAAAACAACTTGATTTAGGTGAGACCATTAATGGATACTTAAGCCATTGGTGAACAAAGAAACTTCACTTGGTCTTCATATACAGCTCCACAGACTACTTTTACAATGAAAAAATCTGGTGGACACCACCTCAGTCAAAAGATCAAACTTAACATCACTGATAATGGGACAAATGCCCCTTAATGATGCACCATGAACACAGTATCGCCTATATAGTACGCTCACCAG